TATACCGCCACAACTAGCCAAAAATCTAAAATTAATCAGCATTCAGTAAAAAGCTATAAAAGGAGCCCAAGACCCACCTCTACAGTCATTTTTAGGATCAGATCACATAGGCATATTTGAAATAACTTCAAGAAGCAAATGATAGCTCAGACATTTTATAAAATATTTGAAGCTGGCTGGGCTTGGTGGTGCACACCTTTAATCCCAGCACTCAGGAGGCAGAGGCAGGTAGATCTCTGGTCTACATAGTGAGTTCCAGGACAGCTGGGGCTACAGGGAGACCCTGTCTCAAAAAGACCAAAAATAAAAAAAAAATTGAAGCTATATAATGGTATCAATGCTTTTTATTTCATTTCTGAAGATTGGTATACACCCAGATAAGACAATATAATAAGACAAAATGATAGCAGTTTTACTTGATAACATAGATTGAAAAGTCTAATAATCAGTGAACTGAATCCATTACACATTTTGAATTAGTTATCCTAGAAATGCAATGATGGCTTGGCATTACAAAATCTATTAATGTAATTCACTTTTTAACAGGTTAAATAAAAATAATAGTGTGACGGCATTAATACAGAAAGTGATTAGTTTTAGCACCCATTTCTGATTTAAAATTTGTAGCCTTCAACTATAAAGAAGCTATAAACTTAATAATATATGTTGACCAATAAGTTCCAAAGTTGTTGGTAAAAATATGCAAAATATCCAGCTCAAGTTAGTAACAAAATAAGAGTGGTCACTGTTGCTTCTGGTACTATCGTTTTTCAAAAAATAATTGACAGAATTTGTTTTTTCCTTCCTGTTATTTTTCAGTTTGGTTCTTATTTTCCCATAATGTCTCCTGCAGCAGAATATTAGCATCAGCTTATCAGGGAACCCTGTTAAAGCTTTGGTTATGCTTGCATTTATTTTAAAGGCAGTGCTCTAATAACAATAAATAAAAGTCATAAATTCTGAAAACAGAGATACCATCAGTTTTTGAAGCTTTTATGATTGCCTTCTTAGGAAATTGAGAAGAATCAGCTAAAATCTAGTGGTAGTAAGGGGAGTACCATAAAGTACTTTTAGGAAGTCCATTATACAGAAATCAATAGCACTTTTATATGCCTGCTATAGCCAGTGAGAAAAAGATGTGTCCTTCAGAGTGACCTCTAACTGATCAAATACCTAGGAATAAATACATGATGACTGTTCAATAATCTTGATTGTCAATTTGACTGAATTGAGAAATACCTAGGTTAGTAAAGCATACCTCTCCATGTTTCCTGTAAGTGTTTCAAGAGGGGATTATGTCCTGAGGGCTCTGATCCAATGAATGCATTAAGGAGGCAAGTGTCCAGTCTGCAATCCATGGTTTGCATGTAGCCCAACACAAAATCAGAAATTCACTTAAAACATTATGGCTTTTTGTGACCATTTTTTTGTCACTCCGGGTTTTGGAGTATGAACTTTGTAGATTACAACATTGTGTGGCAGTGCCAAAAGGATGGACACCCTGGTTCACTGATGGATTCAGAGTATGGATAGACTATCTAGAGGTGATGGAACTTTGCAGGATGGGGCCTGGTTGGAGGAAGTGCCTACGTAGGGGTGCATCCATTGGGACCATATCTTGTCATGGTTACTTCTTACTGCTCCACTCTGCTTCCTTCTACCGAGTCCCACCATCCCCTCCCCACTTTGATGAATTGAAAGCTCTGAAACCATGAGCAATATTTTTCTTTCCGCTCTTGTTTCTGTCAAGAGTTGGTCAAAGCAACAACAACAAAAAGACAAACAGAAGGGCGCATGGGAAATCTATATAAAAGTAACTATAAAAAGAACTGAATTCTTTGTCATACTGTCTAAACAGGGAGATTTAATACAACAATATATTCCCTGATTAACCTTTAAAATAAATACAAGCAGCTGAGCATGGTGGCATGTGCCTTTAATCCCAGCAGAAGCAGGCAGATCTCTGTGTGATTGAGGCCAGGCTGATCTACATAGCAAGTTCCGGGCCACCTGGGGCTACAGGGAGACCCTATCTCAAAAAGACCAAAAAAAGTCGTTAAGACAGGAATGAGATTTTAAAGGCCAAGAAGTGAAACAAAGGGTTCCTTGAGAAGCTGATACTAAAATAATGTTGGAAGAGAGATTGTGGGAAAATGAAAACTAAATTGAAAAATAAGGGAACTATATGGTAAAATACTTAACATATATAAAAACTAGCAATTAAACTATGTCACATTGACTAGAAATAAGCAGCTAGATCAGTGGGTCAGAATGAATTTCAAAAATCACACATGCATGACTTGGAATTACAGCTCAATGGTAAAGCACTTACCTAGTGTGCAGGAAGCCCAAAGTTCATTTTCCATTACCACAGTTTAAAAACAATAAAGAAAAAGAAAACCTACATTCAGCTGCTTACAAACATAGCACTTGAAGACACTGAGAAGTTTAACCTGCCCAAGAATGATGCTTAATGGTGTTGGGTCAGTTTATAAAAGGTAAAATCAGAATTTCAAATGGGATAAGAGGCTAAACGAAAAAAAATAAATAAAAATAAAATATATAGGAAACCATAGAATTATTACTAAGTAATAAACACCTATTAGTGACAAGAGATTTTAAAGACTTAGAAACAAATTGAAAAAAATAGTAGACTCACATTTAGAATATTTGCTTTCTCAAAGAGAGAGCAAAGAAATGGAGGCACCACAGAGAGGAAGGTGCACAACGGCAATAACAAAATGAGCATGCATAATAAACCAATGTGCAATAAATAGACATGCAAATTGTACTAAAATGAAAAAGTACTCTACATTAATTAGAAAATGCCAATCAAAAGAAAATTTGGCAGTGCCTAAGTTGAAAAACAAAAGCTTTCTGATTTTATGATTTTTTTCTAGAATAGGTGCTTATTTGCATAAAGGTTGTAAGGAAATAGAGAAAGAGATCAATCAGGGGCCAAGAGAGAGAGTGGAGCAGGGGAGCTGCCAGGTCCCCCCTGAGAACTATCTCCTGGGTTTAGCACCTTCTGTAAGGGAACAGAAAGCAGGAAGGAAAGAAAGCCGACCTCTACCAGTAAGGCAAATTTATTAGAAAATAAATCTGAGAGCCCCTCCCCCAGGGGTCCAGAGGAGGTGGTGACACCTCCTAGAAGCCCAGGGTCCGGGAAAGAATGCACCCTCCCTTACAGACCCAGAGTTTTTGTATTTTTCTCCCTTTGGGGAGGAAGGGCTTTGGGGTAGATGTTGGGTCATCTCAGACAGGTGCAGGGTAGGTTTCTCCATTACAAGGAGAGCCAGTTGAGGAGGGTCTGCAAAGTAGTAGCTCCATAAATTATTATCATAAAAATTGAGGAAGACTGGATAAAGATGACAAATGACCACTCTAGATTCCAACAAATAATAGAAAACATATTTTTGTTTCTTTAAAAAAATTATTCTGTAACGTTTTGGAAAATAGAATGCTCTTAGTAAACCAAAATTCTTAAGGAATCTATATGTTAAAAGACAGCTTTTAAAAAAAATGTAAAATCCCATTTATGGAAAATAACTGTATGTGAGTATATTATACTGATAACACTTGACATAAAATTGGTCTGGAAGCCTAGATGCCAGTCTGTTGACAGCTTGCTTCTGGGGAAGGGACTGAGTTAGAACACGAGATATGATAAAGGAAGACTTGCTTTTTAAAAAGGAAGAAAAGTCAGAGATTAGCGGATAAAAAATGCAGAGGCTTAGTTCCAACACCTCCCTCCATGTTTTGGCTTCAAGTTTCTCCAAATCTCAAGGCTGCTTTCCCAAGTAGATCTACCAAAGGTTTGACCCTCCCCTTACCTTCTGATTTACGTCTATCCTCGGACATTTTTCCTAGGTTATGTTCATTAGCTGTAGAGAATAAAACAGAAATAAAGGTGAACTTGGAAATTCTATTTTTCCTAATTGTAATTAAGAATACCCGCAAATGGAAATAAAGATACTTTATGGTTCTTCATATTAGGATTTGAATAAATGTGTTTTCTATTCAAAGGATCTTGAGTATTTCTTCTCTGGAATATGTTTTTACCAAAATAACTTATGTGGGAGAGTCACCAATTTGACTTTCTCAGCAGGAAATAGATTTTCTAGCAGGAGAGCAACTAGGCAGTAAGAATTTTCTCTGTTGTTAATAGGACAAGAGAGAACTTTGCAGGAAAACCATAGTAGAAGAGCATTAGTAGGCAAAATTTTAACAGTAATACCAGAGAAAACCCAGTCCCCTTTCTTAGACTAAAACAAAAGCTTTAGCACAATTTTCTTAGAATTTAAAGGAAACTCCTTAGGGCAGGCAAGCTGTAGATCTCAACAGTTACCCAGAGGAGGAGGATAGAAGGAAAAAAGCCATCAAGCCAGATTAGAGCTGACATGGAGGTGGGCTGGCAGCCACCTGGTGGAGGGGGAAGGGGGCGTTGGAGAGAAAGTAAAGAAATCCAAGATGTTGGGGCAGCCAAGAGCATTATGGAAAGCATGCTTAGAAAAGAGGTAGAAGAAAGGAAAGGTGATGTTTTCTGAAAAATTCAGAGACGTGAGCAGACTTAAAGAGAGCTACATACATGTCTGTGGCCTGGTCCAGAAGCGCTGCACCATCTCATTAGCACACCAGGTATTCTGGGTATCCCTTTAGCATGACTTAAGGTGAACCCGCCTTCCTAGGAGTGAGTCTGCAACCAGGTGACTGACCTGGCAAAACTGGAAAATTGGGTCTTCCTCCAGGCCAGATATTTTAATCTCTTGATCAGATTTCTCTTGGGGCATTTTTTGCTGCTGTTAAAAAAGTAAATGACTTTTAGATCCATTTCAAACCCTGGGTATTAAGGCAAAGAAAGGAAAGGCTCCCGTCCTTGAGATGCCTAGACTCGACTGTCCACTGACTCACTTTTACCCACATTCCCTTTATCCTCCCCCCATGACACTTCCTACAGCCTAGATGCTAACTATGTGTTACCTCTGCTTCTTCTCTTTTAGGAAAAATTAAACCTCTTGTTAGTTGGAGATGCCACAAAATGCTTCCTGGCTGGTGCTGTACAGAATTTTTTCGCAAATACAGCACAGGTCACCATTACCATTAGTGACGTGAAGAAGGTAGCTGCACTTTTGGCTCACAACTTCTTTGACATGATTTTCCTGAAGGTGACTTCCACTCTAAGTAAGGAAGAGCTGGAGGCTATCGAGTCAATTAGGTAAACTTTTAAAACCTCGACTCTGTGTTTTTTAAATGGTTTTTAAAAATTATTATAAAAATCTGTAAGAAATGTCATGTACCTCTACTTTGATTTTTAAAATGAAGCTTGTCTTCCTGGCCACATCTACACGTATGTGTTTTTTGTTGCCAGTTTGATAAACCATTGTAAGAATTAGCTTTTAACTTGAGAAGTAATCAGTGTGAATGAGAAAGTAGGAGTTAATTGATCATGGAAATGTCTTTGGTTCAGAATGCTTACGTTTGTCCCATAGGTATGCTTTATAACTCTGTCATTAAAATGGTACATCTTTTCAGAGTTCATTAACAGTTATGAGAGTTATTAAAGCAAGTGAGCACTCTCAGATCTATGCGGAGTTGGCTGTGGCCTGAAGTGGTCTCTTGGGGCTATGGGGGTCTCTGGATTTGTCATATATCTAGCCCTACCACCTCAGACATCCCTATTGCATCTTAGAGCTATGTAAAGGCATGGCTGATTCTAGCCCAGTCTGCTTTCAGAGAACTAGCGTCCAGTGGGAGAGTTTGGTTCCTCCCTGCCAGACTACAGAGGACTTTGAACCACTTAGGATGGTTTAAATAGAGCTAGGTCAGAACAACTTTGTCCTCCTTCTACAAAAAGACCTGACAGATAAAATGGAATTGTAGATGATATTGGAATTTCTGAGAGTTTGTCTAGATCACCACAGCTTCTTCTAGAATAAAAGAGAACCTTGAGAGCTCTCATGTGATATGTGAATAAAGAGGAATAAGCAAATTAGTTTAGAAGAAAAGACCGGAATGAAAGCACGCTTAAACCACTGAGTCACTTATTAGGGGAATGTAGACAGACAAACACTACTGCTAGGATTTCTCAGAATATCTGGTCTTCTGCATATCTTTTTTACTCCTTTTATTTTTCGCAGTGCTGGGGATTGAACCCAGGGCCTTTCACATGCTAGACCAAGTACTATCCCACTGAGATAAACTCCTGTTTTGTGTTGTTTTCTGCGTTTATGTTAGCTTTCTACTGAGACTATAAAGTCTAGACAAATCTACTGCAAAGGGGCTCTTCAAGAAATGTTCTTCTGAACATATACTAATTTTATTGTATACCTTTATAAAAGTCGGTATGAGCCAGGCATGGTGGTACACGCCTGTAGTCCCAGCACTTGGGAGGCAGAGGCAGGTGGATCTCTGTGAGTTCAAGGCCAGCCTGGTCTACATAGTGAGTTCCAGGACAGCTAGGGCTTACAGGGAGACCCTGCTTCAAAAAGACCAAAAAAAAAAAAAAAAAAAAAGTCGGTATGGAATGACTTTCCCTGGCTCAGGGATTGTCACAATATCACATTCATTTGGTGTTTTTTGTTCTATAGCAGCTCTGTGAGGTGAGTAGAGCAGGGATTCACCATCTCTCCTTTTTAAAAAAAAATAATTTTAATTTTATGTGTCTGAGTGTATTGCCTGTATGCATGTAAGTGTACCCCTGTTGTGCAATGACTGCAGAGGTCAGAAGATGGTGTCAGATTCCCTGGAACTGGAGTTACAGACAGTTGTTAGCTACCATGTGGGTGCTAGAATTCAAACTGGTGTCCTCCAAAAGAGCAATCAGTGTTCTTAACTGCTGAGCATTTCTCCAACTCCAGCCATCTCTCCCTTTGACAGATGAAAACCTGATGTGGAGGAAAACAAACTAAGTTCTGTTTAAGAACAAGTTTGTGTTTAGGTATAGTTTAGTACAGTCAAAACATAGGTGGTTGAAGGAGCATATTTCCTGTCTGATTTAATTTCTGTAGATTCTCTCCACAGCAGCTTTCATTGCTCTGAATGGCATACTTTGAGATTCCTTCCCTCTCTCCCTCTTTTCCTTCCTTTAGTCCTCCAGTCCTTCCTTCCTTTTTATGGGATTAGGGATCCAAATAACCTCTTGAATGCTAGGTAAGTGTTCTACCACTGAGTTATACCTCTAGCCTGTAGCATAAGATTTCCCTTTAAAATATAACATGTATGAATCCTTTGAGAATTTAATGCAATGTATTTTGATTATATTTACCACCTACTCCTCCCTAACTCCTTTTATACCCACCCCCTCCCAGCTTCATGTCCTCTTTTTTATTTTTATTTTTTCTTATAACCCACAAAGTCCAATTTGTGCTGCCCATATACTCATAGGTGTGGGCCTGCAGCATGGTTGATCTACCAGAGGCCATATCCTTAAGGAAAACTGTTTTTCACTCCCCCAGAAGCCATAACCTATCAGTAGCTTCTCAGTTAGGGGTGGGGGCTCATGAACCTGTCCTTCTTCAGTGTTAAAATGTTGATCGGCATGATTTTTTTGCAGGTCTTACACTAGGTATACCTTATGCAGGGATACCTTTCCTTGAGTTGCTAATCAGGAGTGTCCCAGAGACCACCAAAAAGTACAGAATATTGCCATTGCATTTTGCTCTCGGTTGCCCACCAGAAAAGATAAGTCCCTATTACATAAGATATCACTCACTTTGGTCCCAGGACATGAAGAAATTAAATTGGTACTGACCAGGAAGCTTCCTCCTTCCTGGATAGCTTTCATAGTACTGAAAGGTGTTATGTAGGCTATTTGAGGGGGTGTCATCAACATTCTTACCCAGCTGTGAATCCCGGAAACTACCAGAATTCCCAAAGTGCCAAGATATGTCCATGGGTATATTAGTAGCACAAATGTTATGGAGGCCTTAACCAAGGCCTGCTTCACAGGAGGAATCTCATGCCTGATACTATAAATCTGGCCAAGAACCCATGGTTGGGGAGCTCACAGAACCCGGAGGTCAACCCACTACTATTATTTTGCTAAATGGACTTAGTATCAAACTGCCCTCCAAATTAGTATCTCTCTACCCATAGAGCAGTATAGCTCTCAGACCTCACAAGAGAAATTCCTCTGTGCAGTGGATTGTAGTTAAGACAGAAACTCACTGCTCAAAGTGCAGAGAATAAACATGATTTCTTTTTTATTAATTTATTTTATGTGTATGAGTATTTTGCTTTCATGTATATAAGTACATGCATGTTGTGCAATGCCCACAGAAGACAGAAGAGGGTGTCAGAGCCCATGGAATTGGGGTTATGGACAGTTGTTGGTTGCCATGTGGGTGCTGGGAACTGAACCTGAGTCTCTGCCAGAACAGCCAGTGCTATTAACCACTGAGCCATTGATCCAGCCCCAAGCATAAGATTTCTTAAGAGGCAAAAAGGTAAAGAAAGGTACTAGGTGTGCACATATGCATATGATAGTTCCATTAGTTTATTGTCAAAGTGTATATTTCCAAAATGAAAAATCAAGGATAATTGGCAGGAATATACCTGGACTTGTTTTCCTTGTCTCTTATTATACTGTTCCGAATTCCCAGTCTGTAAATTGAAATTTAACCAGTATGATCTGGCTTGCTGTCAGTGTAATTTAGCTTATGGATGAGTAGAGAAATATGGTTCTGGGGGCAATGAGTTCCAGCTGTTCTTTTCCTCTTTGCAGAGGGGAGGTTTTCTTTGTTATCACAGTCTTATTCCCTTTCTTGCCCTCAGAGCTTGTATGAGTTTATGATTTATGAAACCCTGTGGAAGATGTCCATAGTTTTAGACCTATCATAGTCTGGTTTACTTTCTTTCTACTTTGGTGTAGTTTTTCCCTCCAGAGGATTGGTTGTTGTTTTGTAGTGCCTCAGAATCTGAATTGGTACAGGAAGAAATGCACAGCTATTTCTCTTATCTGTCTGGATACACCCTATCCCATGCTAAGTGAGAGTATGGAGAAGTACCCAGATTTGATACAAATGTGCACATGATCACAAATCTATGTAGGTATAATGCATATGGATTTTTTTAACTGAGTACAGTGATGCATCTAGGGATGCGGGAAAGAGTTCACTTTTGCTGCCAATTAAAGAATTGAAAGGCAGGAAAAAAATATTACCAGAAATCTTGGTGAGTCCCAGCAGAGCCATGATATGAATGATACTGGGTGAGGGGTTACTTACGGGAGCAGGGATGATGCAGAGACAGCAGCATCATTGAAAAGCCCACCCCAGTACCAGTGACAACTCAGGAAAGCTACATCATGGGAGCTCTCTGCATGACTTGCAGGCAGCTCCACATGTCCAGGATCTCCTCTCTGAAGCTCAGTTGGTCAGTCTCCTCACTCAGCATTGTTCACTTTTCCTGTACCTCTTGGGAGAGACTGTCATGAATCTTGCAAATTTCAACTTTTTCAGACCTGTGAAGTTTATTTACTTCCTGAGTCTTTTGAACCGTGTCTCTCTCCTGGAGAGATTTGGAAGAGATTGCTATTCATTACTTAGAAACCAGTCAAAGATCATGGTACAGTAATTTATAGGTTACACATTCCTGATAGCTTCCCTAGTTTGTATTTATTTCATGAATTATTGAAAGAATTTTTTATTGAACCAAATACAGTCAGACTCTACTGTATAATATATTCTGAGATAATCTTAGGGGTCATGCAGTTGGCTCCAGAATTGCAAGGTATTTTACTCTAGACTTCAGTCAGTTGTCAAAATGAAGGCATAGTCAAAGGGCAAATGCTTGATAATTTAAACATGACCTGACACTTCATCTTCTAAAGCAGGTACAGAAAATTAAAATATATTTCAAGTTTACCAATAACAGAATTATTCTCTAGAATTGCAGCTTTTCTTCCCATGAAATGGTCCTAGGGTTCTTAAAGTCCCACAATTCTCAGCAACTCAGACCTGTTGACTACCAGAAAAGGAATGTAGACTGAGATTCCAGTTTCTTGTTTACAAATCAAGTTTGGATCCAGTTTCATTTTTTTCTCCCCAAGAAGTTTAAATTTTCTTATAAGTTATCTTTTGCTTTACTAAGTAAACCCATTTTGTAAGCCACAAAGGTCTAATAAATTGTCCTTTTCTGGCTCCAATTCTAAAATAACTTTGGCTTAACAGATAAAGTTGGTAAGTCTTACTAGCTGGTTTGCCTGAGTTTGTTTCCTGAAATCTTAACAATATGCACAATAACAAATAACATTATTTATGTCATGAGCCTCATAACAATGTTTTACCAAGGCACACATAGTGCTTGGTAGTAGAAATAAGTGACTATGTTACTAATTTCAATATTTACTGTACTTTTGTTTTTTTTTTTTTGGTCTTTCTGAGACAGGGTCTCCCTGTAGCCCCAGCTGTCCTGGAACTCACTATGTAGACCAGGCTGGCCTTGAACTCACAGAGATCTGCCTGCCTCTCCCTCCGGAGTGCTGGGATTAAAGGTGTGTGTCACCACGCCCGGCTCTTACTGTACTTTTTATAGTTCAGAAGGTACTCTTATCGGAAAAAAAAATCACTATAAAACAGTATATCATCATACCAGTAACAGCCTTGAACCCTTGTGTTTACTGTTTCTTGATTGACCTTTCCCCTCTAGGTTTGTGTAAATGTGCACTGTGATGAAATCATCTAATGAACCTTTTCTCAGAAAGTGTCCATTAAGCAACTCATGATTGACTGGAGTTTTACTCAAAACTTGGTCCCATAAAGGAGTAATGAATATGAATAGGAACAGAGGAAAATTCTAGATCTTTACAATTTCTAGTACCTCCTTTTTGCAAGAGAAGTCTTTTGCAGAATAGTGCAGTCAGAACAGGGTACTTCCACCTTCATGGTGGACCAGAATGAACTGTTAGAGCTACTGAACTTCATCAAGGTTCCCTCTTAGTAGCAAGTAAACTCAGTATTCTTGAATTCATAGAAAAGTCTCAACATTGTCACTAGAAATAGTTATTTTAATTGAGTGGTTTAAAAAGAACCACATTTATTAGAAGTCACACAAAGGCCACAGAAGGTTAAATTAATTGCATTTGGCTTCAGACTACATAGTGGAAAAATGTACTCAAGAAAGCCAAACCCAAACGTGACACTGATGAAGTGAGTTTAGGACATTGCCTCAGCTCCATGGCTACATTTAATTCTCTTTTGGCTTTCTCAGATGATAGGGTTTGGATGCCAGGGCTTTCCTGAATTCTGCTCGAAACATTTTCATATTATCTTTTTGTTTTCTGGTTCACATGGGTCAGACCTAGGCATGGGGGCAGGCCTAGGTATAGATATGGTACAGTTTGAGCTGATAGCTTGCCGCAGTTCCACAGAGAGCTGCAGAAGAGCAGCAAAAGTTAGAATATCAATATGTAATCTTATAAACGGGGTCAGGTCCTGGGAAACATTTAGACATGTGTTTAGGAGAAATGAATACTCCAAATTATTTAGAAACATAAGAGATATAAGTTGAGAATCATTCATTCATTCATTTCCTTGGTGATCCTGAAAACTAGTAACCCTGAGCTTATTGATTTGTGCAAAATATGAATGAGAAGTTAAGGGCATCCCAAGGGTTGGAGTCTGAGAACTCCACCAATTTCCTGAGTTCCTGTTCAGCTCTACAGTTAGGCTTTCCCTGATTAGCTGAGGGTTTAGGTTGGTCATAGATTCTCTGCTAATGGCAAACATCCAGAAATTCCAACTCTGATTTAAGACTTGAAAGACATTAGGGTATATGGATCCGTATATCTACTCTAACATGTTTCTTTTCTTTTTTTTTAAGAGATAAACTTTTTATTATTATTATTTTTATTTTTTGTGTATGTGTGTATTGCCTGTGTGTAGGTAAGTGCACCTGTGTCATGCAATGCCCACAAAAGACAAAAGAGGCCATCAGATCCTCTGGAACTGAAGTTACAGACAGTTGTTAGTTGCCCTGTGGGTGCTGGGATTCAAACCTGGGTCTTCTGCAAGAACAGTCAGTGTTCTTAACCGCTTTATTATTATTTTTATTTTTTGTGTATGTGTGTATTGCCTGCGGGTAGGTAAGTGCACCTGTGTCATGCAATGCCCACAAAAGACAAAAGAGGCCATCAGATCCTCTGGAACTGAAGTTACAGACAGTTGTTAGTTGCCCTGTGGGTGCTGGGATTCAAACCTGGGTCTTCTGCAAGAACAGTCAGTGTTCTTAACCGCTGAGCCGTCTCTTCAGCCCTTCTAACATGTTTCTTAAATTTTGTTATTTTTATTTTATGTGTATGAATATGTTACCTGAATGTATGTAAGTGTACCTTTATAGTGCAATACCTGCAGAGGCCAGAAGAAGGTGTTGGTGCCCTTGGGACTGGAGTAACCCTGTGGGTGCTGGGAATCAAACCCAGGTCCTCTGCAAGAGCAACCAGTGATCTTAACCACTGAGCCATCTCTCCAGCCCCCAAATCTTAACATGTTTCAATAAAACCAATTTGTATGCCTTCCCAAAGATAAATCTAGGGCAACTTGTAAAAGATTCTACTTTTAAAATTATCTAATTCTACATGGCTTTCAGTTTACTTTGTGACTCTATAAAGTATTTTCATTTCGGCCGAACCACATACTTTTTTCACAGTGGCTCTGTCTGTTTAGTCCGTTTCTCTTCCCTCCTCTTTCCTCATCTTATTGACCACTCCTCTGTTATTCTCCAAATTTTCTCATCACTTAGAACTTTTTATATGAAAGCTTACACTGGGACAGTCATTTGCCACTCCCAAACCCTCCACGTCAGCACAGCTTCTACACCAGTGCAATGCACTAATGTGCCTGTCCCACTGCCACATTGAGTCAGACAGTCCAGTCCTAGCCCCCTTTCCACTTATGTCTACTTCTGCATAGATATCACATCTTCCTTTCTTCTCTTCTAATCCCACTCCTCAGTATTCACAGGACAGAATCAAGCCCGTATATGCCTCAGTTAGCTAAATGTCACATTTTAACAAAAATTCTGGTTGTCAGAGCATCCCAACATATGCAAATAGAATCATGTCCCTCTTTGCTGTGTATGTGTGTTTTGTGTCTATGCAATAAGGCTATGCATGTAGTCCAGGCTGCCCTTGAACTCACTATGTAGGCCAGGCTGGCCTTGAACTCTTGGTTCTCCTGTGTCCATCTCCAAAGTTCTGGGAGTACAGGTGTGTGCCTGTTCTCAGCTCTTTTGGCCATTTAAATTAAACACCGGTACTTTGGCTAAACCTATCAGAGCCCGCCCCCTTCTTCCTCTTTTGTCTCATCTTATGCTTTTCTTCCTCAGATACTCTAGCCTAGGACCATCTTGGAGTTCTTTCACATTTTCAAAGTACCTTGTTCTCTACCTGTTTAGGTAGAAATTACTAATATTCAAGTGCTACTGCCTTGGCCCAGAAAGTTCTCTGCTGCCTGCTCTGCTGTCCAGCTTCCCTTGTCTCCCAACTTTTACTGGCTAGCTTGTAGGCAGCTGTAGAGGCCTGTCTATCTGAAGGTTGGCCTCTCTGGAGGCTGCAGAACAAGTGAGGGCCCATCATGTGTGCCCAGGGACATCATATTTACATTGCAGGAGGCAATATAGACACTGTATAAAAGATTTAAAGTATGCAGGAGAGTGCATATAGGTTCTGTGAAAATGCTGCACCATTTTATATAAGGAACTTGGACATATTATTTTAGTATCCCTGGGAGATCCTGGAACCAGTCTCTTGTAGATATTTAGGGATAATTATATAATATAATTTAGAATATAGAATGATATATATTCATTTACAAATGATCTAACAGTATTATGCAGTGGGAGTTCTTGTTTCAATGAATAATAACCATGTATAATAACCATGTATAATTACATACTAATCAGTGATATTTTTAAGTATTTAGGAATAATCTAGTTTTCATAGGCACTTAATAGCTATTCTTCTTAAACTTTGGTTCACAGCAATATTGTTCTTGAAAGATCATTTCATTTTAGTTAGTGCTAAAGCTCAGCTGGCTTACTGTTCCCATGAGTTTGGTTAACTGTGTAACACTACATTTGTAAGTTTCAGTTGAAAATTTTCAAGCATACCATAAAAGGGAGAATAGACGAGTGAACTTCCATGTCTTCATGACACAGCGAACATTATCAGTACATGTCTTTCCCCTTCCAGTCTGCTCTGCCCCCAGGTGGATTATTTTAAAGCCAATCTGACATGATTTTGTTTAACCTATTCAATGATTTAATAAATACTTACCTAAGATTGGGACTCAACAAAAGAAAAGCCACAATACCAATAGCACACCTGTAAATAATTCTTTAGTGTTAAAATGTCTAATCAGTGTTCAATTTTTCCTACTTATTATTTTGGTCTTGCTCTTTAATTATACATATGTATCTTTTTCAAATACACATACATACACACATATATGTGTACTTAAAAAGGATCATGAGTCTTATATGTAACTTTCCGCAATCTAGAGTTGGCTGATTTCATCCCTACGGTGTTCTTGAAAATGTTTTTTTCTTTTCTTCAAACTTTTATAAATTGATGAACAATTCAAAAAGTTGGGTAAGATTTACGTTCTTTTCTTGTTTTGAGAAAAAGCAGTCAGTTAGGAGTGGTGGCACATGTCTTTAATCCGAGCACTCAGGAGGCAGAGGCAGGCAGATCTCTGTAATTCTAGGCCACCCAGGTCTACAAAGCAAGTTCTAGGCCAACCAGAGCTACACGGTGAGACTTTATTTTTTATTGTTGTTGTTGTTTTTTAAAAAGGCAATCCACCCCACCCTACTGCTTTGAGTTGCTGCTTTCCCCAAATTTCCATATTAGTGCCATTATTTTAAATTCTGCAATTTAAAGTCTCTGTGGTTAAGTTCCTAATAAATTAAGCTCTTGAATCCAAATTTTTAAATGATTTTACTTCATTATAATACTTTTTTCCTCAGATTTTTCAAGAAGAAAAATAGACATTTGCTGTTTGTTTTTATAATACCTGAAAAATTGAAAGGTATGTACATGCGTGCTGGATATGCCATTTGTTTTGTTTATTCTATAGTACAGAGATTCTAAGGTCAATATTAATACAATTTTCTTAGGTTGTGTTTCAGAATATGAAGCTGATGTTAGTTTCACTGAACCATTGACTATGGAGAAAATGAATATTGTGGTAAAGTACTGGAAAATATACTTCATGAATGCTGGTGAGTTAAAAATACGTTTACAAAGGTTTAAAAAATTTCCATTGAAATTAGAAAACCATATTGTACATTTTTAAATGGGTTTCCCACTTATGCTTTTTATTTGCTGAGGATTAACTATTTACTATGTATTTTATAAAAGAACATGTTTTTGATCATAGTCAGAACATAACTGTAAATAAAGAGAAAAAGTATGACCTTTATTTGCAAGAAAAGAAGTTGTAATTTTTATAGATTTAAAGTGAGTTGTATGGTATGGTGTTTTGGTAGCAAAGTGGTTCCTTTTTTTTTTTAATTTGGAGACCTGGCTGTCATCATATCTTAGTCATTAAAGTGGAATTAATCAAGTACATCATTATATGAATGTATAAAAAATCAGGGGCACTAACCTAGAATTGTATAGTACTTTCTTCTTTGCAAAACACTTACACATAAATTATTTTACCTCTCCAAATGAATAGTATGGCATTATTTCTCTTTTAGATTTTTACATACAAATGTTAATGCTTCAAGTAGACCTCACTTTTCTAATCCCTTTACATCATCTTAGCACACTATACTAGCTTATCTCATAAAAGGACAGCAGACTCCAAGTTCTGGAATTAATATTGTTCAGTGACTATTTTTGCTTGCTGTAGGCATAGGATGTTAGGTGAGAAATCTTCAGAATTAATGATATTAGATAGAAAGCTGTTAGTCAGGAGATACAAAGTTTTAACTATGTCAAATGAATAAACTTTGGAGACCTACTGTCCATTTTGATGGCCATATTAATAATATTATATAGAATGCTTGAAATTTGATAAGAGGAACTTTACATGTTCTCATCACAAGCACAGGAAAATAGTTATCTAAGGTGATAGTTATGTTAATTTCATTGTGCTATTTTTATAATGTATATGTGTGAACTCCAACTGTATGCTGCAGATATCTATAATTTTGAATTTTCAGCTATACCTCCATAAGGCTGGAACCATTTTTTAAAATTAAAGCTGAAATATTTTCTTGAAATGTGCCTGAAAATACATTGAGGAGTATTATGTATAAGTTCATATTCTAGATGATACAAGATTCAATATACCTGATGGTATAATGTTAAATTTATTGTTCAGAATAGGAATCTGCTTTGTGGCACTCCTGTGGCTCCCAGTCCCTGCAGTTTCAGAGTTCTTTCTGGCTATGACTAAGCATGTGGTCAAGGTCTCTTTTGCAGTCTGTTCCTGTCCAGTTCTCAGTGGAAGCAGCAGCTGTTCATCACCTGTCCAGCACCTTTGATGGGTTACAACCATATCTCCAAGGATGAACAGCTGACATTTTTTTTTCCAAGGCCATGTTTTGACAGTGCAGCTGCTTATTGAAGATTCATGCATAGTTTCTTCCTCTTGACATTTACCTATAAATAGGAAGCAGATAAACGTGGCTGAAGATGTTTTAAAAACATCTGTCACAAGTTACTAGATTCTGATTGAAAAGAGGATATCCTGGGGTAAATAGTATGTAGTCTTTTAATTATGCTTTCTAACCTGAGTGGTTTTATGCTTCCCAAATGAAATCTGTTATTGGCTTTCTATTTCAAAAGTGCTGCTTTGTAAAACTCATTGCTAGTGATTTTAGAATTAACATAGAACTCTTGGAAAACTTTCAGGGAAAAATGAAAGCACTGGGAGGCCTGCAGAACGTGAATTGTTCCTACAGAGCTCCAGTGAGGAACTCCTGAGGTGCTTGTCTACTGATCTATTTGCTTGGTTAGTCCTTTGTACAATTTCATATTACCATGTTCACTCCATATATTTCATTTTAAATACTCTGAGAACTTGGGGCTAGAGAGACAATTCAGTGGTTATGGCTACTTTTCCAGAGGACCTGGGTTTAGGTCTCAGCATCCACAGGGTAGCTCACAACTGCCTGAAACTCCAGTTTCAGGGGATTCAGTGAGTGCCTTCTTCTGGCCTCTGTGAGTTTGCCTGTACATGGTACACTTAACATACATGCAGGTAAAGCATACATACACTTAAAGTAAAAATAAGGCAATCAGAATTTAAAAAGAATACTTTAGAGAACCTGATAATGGGATGCTAGCTTTAGTGCTGAGGATGATGCGAAGCAAAGGGCTCTTTTGTGGAAAATGGATGTGACATTTTCTGTGTGTTGGAGTCTGGAGCTGGGATTGTGGGTGCATATCAGAGAAGGATTCAATTCAATATAAGAAAATACTTCAATATCAATGAAGAAAAGAGAAAAGCATGTCAAAAGAAGTCTGGCTTACTAGTGATCAAAGCTAAATGATAACATAGAAATTCGAACTTTTTAAAAGCAGTAGATTCCTTTTTTCAAACAAAAATGTAAAACCTTGATATTTGAACAGACAAGAGTATTATGTATCTTCCACCTAGCTTCCCCCATTTTCATTTCTGAACTCATAAGCTCATCACCCCATTTACTGAAAGCCTCACTTAAAAGGGGTTCAGAGATTCTCCTATATACCTCTTAATTTAGACTTGTTGGTATACAGAACAGGTTTGTCTGTGTCTCTTCTGTAGGGATGTGAGAACTGGCATTCAAACCTACCTCAGACAGAACCAGAGATCAGACTCTTCCTGTGCTTGCATTGTATGTTTATAGAAATTACTTTTCATGTGACTTTTGCAGGCTCTTTTACACCTATTTTCAGGGAGGCATTAAATAAATACCAGGGCTACTCTGAGTTGACAGAAGTACTGAGGCCAGTGGGTGCTAATGATAGTGAAACTTTTGAGCCAGTCACTTCTGGAATGTGTAGAATGCAGCCATCTACTATTTTGAACAAGGAGGGGATTTGGCAACCACTTCAATGTAGCAAACCAAAAATGAGCTCACTTAAGTAGTGCACATAGAGTAACAGCTTTCTGAATCTTATTTAGATCTTAACCTCAAAGAGCTTCGCTGAGTACCTTTATCTGAGGTATAAGGTTAAGAAGGTTATTGTAAAATTTCATGGTTTTCCTATGTCATTTGAAAGAACTTTTCAATCTCTACTAGTTTTTTTTTCTTTATCTTTCCTTCAAATATTACTACTATAAATAAAAGTAAAATTTCCAATCAACTTATATCCTGGATAAGGAAAATAGAATTACAGGTCTGGGAAGATACTTCCGTCAATAAAGTACTTGCCTTGCAAAAATGAGGACCTGAGCTTGATCTTCAGATCCAAAAAAAAAAAAAAAAAAAAAAAAAACCACCAAAACCATTGAACCATTGTGGTGGCAAGCCCTTATAATCTCAGCACTGGGGAAGTATATGTGTATCCCTGGGGCTCCCTGACCATCCACCCTAGTCTTTTTGGGGAGCTTCAGGCCAGTGAGAGACCTTGTCTCAAAAAGCAGGGTGAATAGCCTGAGAAATGACACCTGAGGTTGATCTCTGGCCTCCATGTGCACATCTATATGTGCATCTACACACATGAGCAATGAATATGTATGTGCACACACACACAGAAAATGGGATTATTTTGAAAGATTTTTAAAAAAAAAAAAATTAAAAGCCAGGCATGGTGGCACGCATCTTTAATCCTAGCACTCAGGAGGCAGAGCCAGGCAGATCTCTAAGTTCAAGGCCAGCCTGATCTACATAGTGAGTTCCAGGTCAGCTGGGGCTACAGGGAGAGCTGGTCTCAAGAAGACAAAAAACAAGCAAAAAAACAAAAGCCAAAAATGTAATTGAAAAGCATAAAGAAGTTCTAAGAAGATAGTAGATCGAGAAAAATAACCATTAGATGAAAATTTTAAAAGGGAGAGAAACTACCTTCTCCTGATGAAGTTGTAATATGGCATATTGAGACTGTTCCTTTTTCTATTTACTGTATCTTCTTGAGGATAGATATAGTTATGATCTTTAACTTACAGTGGGAGCATAAGACCCATCATAAGTTGGAAATACTGTAAGTAAAAACTGTATTCAACCTACCTAACGTCATAGCTTACTCTGGGCCATCTTTCACATGCTCCAAACACATTAAGTCACAGTTATGCAAAAATCATCTAACACATAGTCTGTTTTATAGTGGTTGTCTAAGCATTAAGTATTTCATATAATTGTCAAACACTGTGCTGAAAGGAGAGTTAGAAGGCAGTATTGATATGCTTTATGGCATCATGAAATTAGAAAAGTTTTAGCTGAACCATGGTCAGTAGATGACTGCCTATAATTTGAAGTAGTCATAATTGATAAGAGCAGAATGTCTTAATACTAATTATATCTGTTACATTTTGTCAGTATATTTTAGAATTTTGGTCAGTCATTGAATTTATGATCATTTTAACATATTTTGAAATTTGAGAGAAAAATGTCAGTGCCAAATGAGTAAGGTAAAGTGATTTGACATTTATTGCCCCTTTGTATGAAGCAGAAGACAGAGAAATGCCGTTTGATTAGCTAATTGCTGTTTATTGTTTAACATTTCCTGATAATTTTCTTCTTTAATATATGATGTAATTTTCAACTTGTTTCTAGCTCAGAGTCTCCAAAAAATGATGTTGGACTTGAATTAAAGGCTCCATTTGCAGATTCTGAAAAAAGCAAAAAGGTATCTGGGCATCATTCAAGCAAAGAAAAGCTAAGAAGGTGAATATTGATATAACCCTTTGTTCAGCATTATTCCTTCATATGGAGAAATTACTTTCATAAATTTCATAACTTTTTAAATATTGTTAAAAATCTAAATGAAGCTAGTAAATCTGGCCACTACTAGATGTTGTTTGTTCAGGCATTTGGTGATTTGGTAAATAGCTGAGTAGGTACCATTTGCCATAGTATATATGGAGAACTGATGTTGAAAAATAATCCCTCCTCTCAAAGGAGGTATCAGTCTAGACTCGGACTTCTAAATAAACTGTTAAATAGGAAATTGTGTTTTAGTAAATGTCATGGTAGAGTGGAGGAGAGCAAAGACTCTGAGAAAATTATCCAACACAAAATGGGGAGGGGGGGAAGCTTCCATGGAAGGTGATAGGTAATTTGAGTTTTGGTTTAGAAGTCAGGGAAGGACATGCTATATGGAGAGAATAGCAGAGACAGAGGCTGAGGGTAATAGAATCCAGTCGATTTATGGAACTACAGATACTTCCATGTGGTTGGTTGTTAGGACTTGAGTAAGAAAAGGCAAGGGATGAAATGAGCCCATAAGGTGTCCATGAGTCTGTCATGTTAGGGTTCAATAATCTTCAGTACTTCTGCTCACTTGAAAAAAAGGAACAATGAGTTTGACCATCTTCTTTCACAAATGAAGGCTCTTCCAGAACTGCTTGGGTCTTGGACATTCTGGCAAGGTAGAACAGAGTTCTCAGAGGGTACCAAAAGGCCTCTGATCAGCTGTTTCCTGTGCCCTCCTTTTTTGCTGAAATGCTTTGTACAGAAAAGAGACCCAAGGACTTATTTGGACTAAAACCTTCAGCCCCAGGTTCCTTTCAGCTTCTCAGATTTACTTATAAGTTGGGAAGATATTTTGAGCGGCTGGGATCTTACTGACCATGGAGAGAGGGCCCCTCCTAGGGCTGTCTAGTACATGGAGATAGTAAAAGACTCATCTGTAAATGACTTCTCCATGTGTCCTACATAATGTGAAATGAATGCTACCTTGTCTTGGGAACTATGAGTAACATACTTTGTTCAATGGTAGCCCTCCTGGACCTGTTAGCCCCCTGATATGTGAATGACACCTTAACCTCCATTTTAAAATTCTTTGTGCTCCTTCCTAGTCTGGTCTCTGCATTTCCCAGAGACAACTACTGTTCTAGTTTCTGTCACCTTAGATGGGTTTTGCTTATTTCATAAACTGAATCTCAGGGTGTACACTTATCACTGGTGTCTGGCTTCTTTAACTCAGCAAGTATTTTGAGATTTATTTATATATAT